GAAAAAAAAAAAAAAAAAAAAAAAAAAAAAAAAGAAATAAGATACCGTTACGAAATAATTCTTTATAAAAGCAATTATATACTTGACTGCTCAATCAAGTGCTTCTCGTTATTCAAAAAGTCGTTCACACATTTAATCAAATCTATCTGGAGTACAATTTTAGAACACGAAATATTGCAAAAAACTTATACTATCTCGAACTTTATTCATTCGAAACATAATAATTATAAAAAAACAAAATGTCGTAAACATTTTCAACATTTTTCCCATACTAATTGGAGCGCAATTAAATTACAAATGAAATGTAGAGGACAAGAATTTTTTTAACATTTACACGCTTTTTTCTCTATTATTAAAAAGAAAAGTCATTACGGATGCATATAATTAAAGGTTCGAGCATACTTTACACATGGATCGTTCAGTCAAAACGATCCTTCCATCAGTACTGATCGAGTCGATCGAAACGATCTTCCAGTGTCCTTGTCCATCGCAACAAATGTGCATAGGACAAATCCTATTCGCGGAATCAGCTCGACGACACTAGTAGACGCGCGAGACAATCGCGTGGGACGAGAAGACCAAACTAGAAAGTGCACTCGAAAGAGTGAAAAAAGCCCTGGGGCCTTAATCCCTGCACCGACTCCTCCCGGGCCCCAAGATCAAATCTTTTCTTCGAGTAATACGGCGATCGGCGATCGAAATCTCAAAACCAAGTATTTTTTGCGATCGCAAAAGAAAAAAACATAAGATTAATGTCGAATATGAAACTTCTAGAAAATTTACCAATAGAAAATAATAAGATTAATTATAATTGAAAAAGTTTGATAATCGACTAGGGAGAAACAACTTACGATCGGATATACCAAAAATTAATAATTGATATAACTACCGATTATACGTAACTGACAAGGAGCTTCAATGACACCTCACAGCGTGAAGATTTCAATTCGATCGTCGATCGTGATAAACGTAGCCACCATAATTATCGCTGCTCCGCGATCGATACGGCTCCGCAATCTCGAGAGAATCTGATTATAGAAATTGAAGTCTCTGTCGCCGAGATTATCACGGCGGATGTAGCTGAAACAACTTAACGATCAATAGTAGTGATTAACTTACCATCTTGATCACGTACTTAAATTATAGACGACCTTATACGTAGAGACGAGGCGTTTTCGGAATGTTTTTGGTTTATATAGCACAGACGATGCGCGCTGGATTCTTTAAAACAATTTTCGATTTCGATCGGGCGCATCGAATGATCTTTCGCGCCGGTATAATGTGTGTTTATAAGTTTTATCATGCAAAAAGGTATATATTGTTACACACACACACACACACATAAACATACACACATACATGTATACTACAGTAAAGAGAAAGCTTTGTGTATATAATATATATATACGTACAAAAATTGTGTGCGCACGCGCGCGTAACAATTCTATCAATATCATTCGAATTGAATTTTAATCGACATAAGAGAGAGAGAGGGAGAGAGAGAAGACAGAAAAGAAGATTAAAGAAAATGACTGTTGAAAGCGGAGATGTGAATAGAAACTATTAGGGTTTTCTGCATGTAATAATAGACTGAAATTATGGATATATGAAATTTGAATTATTGCATTCTCAGCGTAATATACGTATTATTTATCGCTCTTTCTTCTTGCTAAATTATTAAAAAATTCGATTCGCTTCTCGAAGAGAAACATAATCCTGTGAGTAGAAATTTCAATTTTGATATAAGACTTTCGCATATTTTTTTATTCGCAATCTTTATCACTCATTTTCTACTATAAATACTAGAATGAGTACTTTTCAACGAGTGCCGCATTCGAGTATTTGTTTTGCACAGCGATGAAAGACACGCTTTATGTATAACGTAAATTGGCATCTTTGCGTTAAAAAAATAATAACAAAAATTATTTATTGCTTTACGAAAAAAAAACTTTTAGTGACATGCTCATTGCGACTGTCATTTTTAACGCATCGATCGATCCGACTGCGGTAGAAAATAATCAATCGTCGATCAATTTCGCAGGTCACTATAGAATTATCGCATATTACTAAAGAGAAGCGTAATAACAATTGATGAAAATAATCTACGGTGATCTTTAAAGAGTTCTCGAGGCTCGAAAAAGTAGCACGAAAAAAGATCGCGATATAAATTAACGTGTAGGATAATTATAATTGAAAACTTTTTCCACCGTACGCTGTGCGTGCGAATGGCGCACTTTTAATTAGCAGCGTTCTACGTTGTGCGTGTCGCTGTAACAACTAGCATAAACACTAGGCGCGCGGGTAATCTCGAGTCTTTACTTTTTTCGTGTGTGTGTTTACGGGTCAAATTTGTTGCTGTGTCAGTTTGAGAATCGAGATGTAAGGAATCTGTTCTCTTTGCGGGAAGTACTCGTCGTAAGTACGCGATTACGGTCACACGATGTCGATTTATATACAATACATACGCTGTTTTATTCTGAAGCGTTGCAATTTTACACGGGGCGTGAATGCATCTCTTTTTACATTATTTGCAATTGTTTCTCGACGCATTTGCATACGAGAATTGCAAATGTATATCGGATCGTGATTTGAACAGCTCATGTAGAGATCACTCTGTTTATTTGATTGTTCGCTGGTTAAACATTAGACATAGTGTTTGTAGTTGGCAAAACGATAATATGTAGCGTTTAAAACCTGATTTAAATAATAGTGCATAATACAACCTTACTTGATTAATGATCGTTTTACATATACGTAATATAAAATGGCATGAAGTAAAAAATTTATTAGAAAAAAGAATATACAATGAAATAGTTGGATCTGTCTTGGATTATTAAAACTCCTCTTGTAAATGCTTAGTCTTGCCATAGCGCTAGATTGTGACTGAACTAATCGGATCATTAAAAAAATCTACAAACTGATATCTAATTAATTTGCATTAAATGCGGGTACCTAATTTACTTTTTAAAGTTTTATAGAATTTGTTCCAAAAGATAAATGACACGTCTGTCGGAGAGAAGAGTGTCGCAAACCAAATGATGATTTGCACATTCTATAATCATGAGTTCTATGCTCATACGTCTTTTAATATGTAGATAGGGTATATATTTATATCAAATATATCCGATTCTCTGGAGCACGTGAGATTTTGTGCCGACGCGAACTATCGCGCCAATATTGCTTATTATCAGTGTTGAGAATGTGTAAATTTTATCATAAGAGAAAATTTTTGTAAAGAGAAATATAAATATAATTATATCTAATCTCGCGTGTGTTCGTAAGAGAGAGAGAGAGAGAGAGAGCGAGAGAGCGAGAGAAAGAGAGAGAGCGAGAGCGAGAGAGAGAGAGAGAAAGAGAGAGAAAGAGAGAGAGAGAATCGAGAGCAGCGGAAGTTCCGTTTTTCAACAAACGATCGATTTTTCAAATCATTGCTGATTCATCTCGTGAAAAAGTTTGTCTATATATTTAACACATATTTCGAAGACGTTTAATCACGAGATTCTTTCACAGATTCTTGTACATATTAGATAAATACGTTTTTGTCATTATTGCCGTGAATCTCTATGTAAAAGATATTCACGTATTTTGCTTCCGTACGACAACTTCGTTTCCCGCTTCGATTCGCATTGAATTGAAGATCATTCCGAGAAAATGCGAATGGAAGGTGATATTTCTGCTGCAGAAAGAAATCCGCTTTAACTTTTAATCTGTAATCTTATGAGGTTTTTTTTCTATATATTCTTATCTTTTTTTTTACATACATATGTATTACAATTATAGATATTATAGATTACAACGAATTATTAGTTGAAAAGTTAGTGATAGCATTCAAAAGAGGCAAAAAATGTTAAAATTAAAACGTCTTTAAATTTTAATGTGAAGAAAGAGATTTATATAAACACACACACACACAAACACACACATACACAGTAAAGCGGTTTTCTGCAAAGTGAGAATATAAACTTGTGATTGATTATGCTTGTGTTTGTGGACTATGGGTCCGAGCAAAGTGTTGTGCGCTATACATAGTTATAGTTGTACAAGACATATATCTTATAGATATTTTAATTGTTGAAATGGAAATTTTTATAATGTTTTGTAACTCCTCTCAGAGAATAAGCAGCGAACGAGAGAGATTCATGAGTATATATTAAAAAACAAAAAGTCATATATACGTGTACACATATACACATACATACATACGGAAACGTTCCTCTAGAGGAAGTACCTGCGATGAAAATATTTCTAATCCGACTTGAGTTTTTGAGAAAAACTTAGCGGCTTCGATTCATCTGTTTTCCTTTCGGCATCATTAATATCTGATCTACGTAGCGCTCAAATAGCGCTTAGAATTCACTATATAGCTTGATGGAAGTGATCCCCAAAAATACCCGCATTCCTCGATCACAAGTGCTTAGATCAACGCTCGTAGTTTCCGCGTGTAGCTACACAATTGACTGAAAATTTCATTGGAACGAAACGCGTCGCGTCGCCGAATTTTGAAACGAACGAAATTACTTCAAAAAGCTCTTGAGAAATTAAGAATAACATTTATCAAATATTTTCTGGATTGTTAAAATTTTGTATAAAATATATTAGAAATATTGTTTTTATTATATTTTTTTTGCAATACATCAATTTTAAATTATTTCTCGTTGAACATCGCTTGGAAATCATCCAAGAGACGTGTCTTGTGTTCGTGTCTTTCAGCGGTAATCTCGAAATTCAGCGACTCGATTGGATGTGACTTTGTACAGAATATATTTACGTATAGAGAGCCCCGTCGTCTAGACGTTATGCTAGATAAGAAGCTTTGAGACTAGTGACGAGGATGATCATAAGGAAAGGTGAAACACTGAAAGTCGAATTTGGGAACATATGAATTTTCTGAAGACTAAAATGATTCTACAACATTAAGTGAAATGGGAGACGAAGGCTGGAGTACGAGAATTGAATTTTTCGATGTTGTACTCTCTCGTGCAACTTGTGCGCGTGTAAGGGCGCGAACTGATCTGATAAATTGCGTGGGATTTGGTTCGTTGGCTCGCACTGTGTGCACGTAATAGTAAATTAACTCGCTTAGTTAATTCCAGTAATCGCATCGTCAAACGATGCGCACGCTCTGTCGTAATGTTTTTAGATTCAAATATATTTATTTGTTATTCGGAGATGGGAGAAAAGAGAGTTTAACGGTTGATTGATATTGTCTGATTATATAGTTAAATGATAATTACTTGTACGGCTAAGTACTTTGTCGCACCGTGTGCACGCGAATTTGTAAGATGATTTGTAAGACGATGGGGATGTTAGGGAGATCACATTTAGCTTCGAGAACTCGCGATTAAATCTCGAAGCTAATTGCGGATCTGAACGTGACTTTATACAGTGTGCACAGAGCTGTAAAATTTTAGCGAATTTATCGTGGCGAAATCGTCGTCGACGCTCGCTTTGATTATCGAAATAAATTGTCAGAACGATCAAGAGATTAAGAAATCTTTCTGAGACGACACATAATTATTTCCGTTGATAGATTATACGCAACTCTCAGCTAATTACAATCTTGTAGCGCGCGTTTGTAAAATATTTTTAGTCTTGAGTATTTACAAGCGATGATGTTAAAAATTAGAGAATTTATTATATGATTGCAAATTGTTATGAGTCCTCTTCACACGTATAATAGAACAACTTGGATAACACGATAATCTTGATTCGTCGCTTTGTAGTTTGAAAGGTTTAAAGCAGCACATCGAGTCATCGACGACGATTTTCCTCATTCGTCCTATCGACGTGTTCATTGAATGCAACCCCATATGGTTAGAAGGTCCAAACGAGGATTGAGCGCAGGCCTTAAGCACCCTCGTGATCGAAGCGAGGAAGACGTTTGGCTAGTGCAAATCCTCTCGGTATGCTTACAAAAAAAAAAAAAAACACTGCGAAATGCCTGTCCTTGTATCGAGCCTTAAGGCTTTCGTAATAACATTGTTGCTGGTATAATGTGGTTTCGAAAGTATATCTGTATAGTGAAAAGTGGAAATGCAGTATACGATTGCGGCTGCATCGTGTAGTGGCTCGAGTTGACTCTTAAATAAACATATTATAAAAACAAAACAAATTTGATTACAAGTACAATGAAAAATTTTATTCTATCGATGATGTAATTGAGTTTGTGTTTCAATGACACACACGTTTATGTAAAATTGTTCACTAACTTGTGATCCATGAGTCTAATTAAAATTCCAATAGATTTCTTGCAAAAATTAAAATGTCAACAGCGTAAAATCATGATTTAACGACAAGTATTTTTCTTAAAAATCGCGCAGAAGGGTTCTTGTCAACTCGGGCCGACTGTTGCTTGCGCGAGGATCAGATAAAAATTCTGTCGCGTGTGTAGGAATCGTGTCAAGAGAACGATAGACTTCGTGCATGCGCGAGCGTCCTCGATAATTCCCTTTTGTGGCTGGTTCGTCGGATCAAAGATTTTCTCTGTATATTATCTATATTATTGTGACATCAAACGCGCGATCAGTGTCGTTTCACTGACGAGCACGCAAACGTAAATATTTCAGCACGTGGTGAGATGCTCCACGTGATCCACCCGCGATCCATTCGTTTTCCTTGAGAAGAGAACTTTATTTCACTATTGTTGCACAGATAAGAAAAAATTGCGAAAGAGAAGACGAGAGATAGAGAAATATTTGTAAAGCTATTGTGTTTGGATTGTGTCACATTGCTAGTCTAATAATCGTGGTGATTGTAAGATGAATGCAAGGCGACTCACGAGAAAGAGAGAAAAAAGAGAGAGAGAGAGAAAGAGAGAGAGAGAGTATGCGTGCGTGCTTGAGCGAGCGAACGAGCAAATGAGAGGAACTTAATGCGTGTGGTTGTTCGAAGACGGAATTGAGATGTCTAATTAACGAGATATTGACCGCGTTCAGAAGAATTCGGCGCTTTGTGCAAGCTTTGTGCTTATTGTCCGTAATTGGTCGGTTCCTCTGTGTATCTATTGCATATAGATGTGAGAGTACACGCGCCGAATACAGGCATTAAACACAGAAGCGCTGTCTTCTGCTAAACGCGGTCATTGTAAATTGTTCTATAGCAAACGAAAAGCGCTACGATCGTTGCAGCGCGCTCCTCGGGAGTTCTCGAGCCAAACGGGGGTATTTTCGCGCTCCTTACATACGAATGTTCCATCCTCAAAAGCGAGCGGAAACTCGTCAAATGTTCCGGCAACTTTTGAGGAACGAGATGCTCCGATCGTTTCGATGTTGATATGTCAATGCTGTGATGTTATCCTTTCAAACTTAAATGAGAAAGAAATATATTCCCAGCTACCCAAGGCCCTATTTACCCTATCCCCTTTATCCTTATTCCTACAACAGGACGAATCTCCCCCTTGAGAAAAAAACCAAATATTTCTATTATTGTAATTCCGCATAGTCCATAAAAAAATAGCTAGATTTTAATCGTATTTAATGTAAAGATTATTATTGTTACATATGTCAGTGATTCTTTCCTCTGCCGGTGACATCTCGGAGAGACGAAGAACGAGGAAAATTATGTGAATTGCGATAATGTTGCCGTAAGATAAACGATTGGTCGATTCTCTCCTGCATGTCACTGGTACCCAAATTCCTACAATTGTCGCATTTGTAAATAAAATTTTTATCATCACATAAAAAAATCGACGTATTGTGTTACATACAATCCTTTTGTTCTGCTATTATCGTGAAGAAAGCACAAAGTCTCTGTTTGAATGGGACGACGTGCCATAATAAAAGTCTCCAAAAGTTTCGCACTGTACAGTTACTCAACTTACTGATAGGTAAAAGAAAAACAAAGATGATGATTTTGAGAGACACATAAATCACTATATATTCGATATTTTTTCTTACAAAATACGGACACAAATACAAAAAGATATTTACACTCTACGTAGATAGGTACATTAATTCAACGCATTACAGTGCGACATATAAAGTCACATACGACATCGTAACTGACAACATATACGCTTCAAAAAGTTTCGAAGATACATAAACGCACACTTGGCTACCGTGTTCGACGCGCGCTCTATGTTATTCTATATTTTTTTATATACGTATCGTACCCCGACTCTTTGGCAATAAAATATAATATAAAACGCATACGCGACGTGTAGCTACTTCGTTCATTTTCTTCGTCCGAGGAAAATGGCGAAGTCACAAATCCGTCAGTATCGTGTAGCAACACACTCAACAACAAGTTTCGCGCAATTTCGGATGTTACGTCATCGTTGTTGTTTTACAATTAACATTGTTCGATAAAATTGTTTGCCTTAGCGATAACGTTTGCAATCGGCGGTTGTAAGCCAGATTATACTTGATGTTTTACAAATTAACATTCTCCATAATCGCACACGATTAAAAGGAACGATATGTATATATACATTTACTACTGGTTATTACACAAGTGGATTTTTCACAACAATTCTAATCAATTCGCGATAACAAAGCGTGAATGTTACATACATGTATGTAAGAATTCTTCTCGCCAATATAAATATTTACACATCCGGTATATCCTGTTTAGCCAAATTTGGGATAGACGCGGAAACTAAACAAAAATAATTTAAAAAACTGCTTTTAGCAAACTTAACTAAACACTTTTTATACATACATAAATAATATATTTTTTCTCTTGATATTTTCAGTTTAATAATTTTATTTAAGCTGTGTAACAGAAGATATAAAAAATTGTAATCTCAAGATATCTCGTGATTTATATTTCGTTTTTTTGAATGTTATATAAACAAACATATATAAAAATTATAAAAATCAGGCTTGTCATTTCTTACAGATACAGCGCATATTATAGTTTTTTTTTTTCAAATATATGCGTATATATGCGTATGTGTGTACTACGTGTCTAAAATTTCATACGTCTACCTTTGGTTTTTAATTTCCCTCGCTACTAACTAATATCGTAAATTCTCTTTGTTTAGTATTATCGGCTTATTAATCAGCCGAAATACAAAAATTGGCAAACGAGCCTTAAAAACTTATATTTTAGTAGTTTTAAATTTTACTTGAAAAACGTTAACAATAAACGAAAAACGTAAAATTATCTGATCAAAAATTGCAACATCTTTCTTTTCGATGTACATAAATTATCTTGAAAAATTGCGTCAAGTATTATAGTAATAATTATCGGAAGTCAAAATCCTAATCCGTATTGTGAAAAGAAGCGTTCGTTGTTCAATACGTAATTCGAAGGTACACGTTTGCTTACGCCTCATAGTGCTCATAATATATGTGAAGTCTAAAAAAAAAAGTCTAAATGTTACATACGAATACAATTACTGTCGAAGAGAGTTTCAACGTACATTTTTCCTACAGCCAACAAGTCTCTGGTAACTCTGACCGTATCGCGAGCTGAACTTTCGCGATCGACACAGTTTCTCTCAATTTTGATCACTCTTACGCAAGCACAGACGCTCTCACGTAAGCCCTTATATAAAAAGGTAATTCTCGTAGTCGGCGTAGGAGGAGGCGGTTACATGTTTCGACGAGAGCGGCGTCGACGGAACGCTCTGCGGGAGATGCTGAACCCGCGGCAACTGCACCTGCGGAGGATCCGGCTTGTGAGGTAAAACGATTCGCGGCGTCTGATTGATGGAACCCAGCGACGAGTGATGCTGATCCCGATGGATGATATTGTTGTTATTGTTAGAAGTGATGGCAGTTTTTCCGGCCAAATGATGCAGACTTAGATGATTGTTATTGTCGATCCTCGAGTTGTAATGGATAGGAAGATTGTCGTGGAGATCCAGTCTTGACATCGCCATCGTGATGCTCGAGTCCGACGCCCACATGCTCTGAAACGACGATGAGTTGTGTAATGGATTTGACTTTCTATATTAATCTCTTATGAATAATTCCGATGGTGGTGTAATTATACATCGGATTGAATTTGATTCGAGTGCGACGTCTCTTTGTTCGAGTGCGCGCAGTTGCGTATGTTTTCGTATTCTTTGTTGTCTGGAGATCGATGACAAGAAGGATTCGCGTTAAAAGCTGACTCACGTGGTTTTTTTTTTTTCTGTTTTTATATTTGCAAATTCAACAATACCTTTCGCCTGTGCTGATTGTAGTCTGGGTTTCGTCTAATGCGAAGGTGTCTGTCCGCGCTGGTCCACCGTTGTGTGACTTTGAGCGGGGAATCGTCGGGATGTAATTTCCTTTGGTACTCTTCGCCTTCGCAGACCTCGTAGAGAGAGAACTGCTCCACCGGTTCCTTGGAGCTGTAGCAACTCAGCAGCATCTGAATCAACTCGTCTACGGTGGTCTGCTCCGAGACCAGAAGGCTCTTGTATTTAGACTGTAAGTAGAGAATAAAAGTTCTTTGAAAATTGGAATATGAATGATAAAATTAATTACGTAACATTAAGTACAAAGTAAAAAAAAAGTAAAATAATTTAATATTAAAGTAAACAAATATTAAACACGCAATTATAATGAAATTATTTACTTGGAAGAAATATAGATGATATTAATTTTTATATTTTTTACGATTAAGATCTAATTGTTTGTAACTAAGAAATTCTTCTTACGCATATATTATAGCTTACAATGTTCCAGGATATTAAGTTGTAGTCTATAATGTTTATATGTCTCTGTACAAGAATACAGGTTTATTTACCCCGGACATGAGTGCGCTGTCGTATATTTTGACGAGTCCGCCGCGGCGTGTCTGCAACGAAAACCTGCAAACGAGAAGGAAGCATGTGTAAGCATACAAGTTTATGTATGTACCAAAGATTCCGCGTCGTTGATAGGAGTCGGTAAGCTCAAAGGACACCAGCGAGCGTTATACTTCGGTGTAAAAACACCGCGTTATGCTCGGAGACAAACGTTCTCGTCTTGTATTACACATGTACAGCAACGTCGGAAGCTTTCGACTATATCAAGAAAATATCGGCCGCGTCATAATGAACACGAATAAATCGTTTTAACGATTAGAGCAACCACGTTCTTCTTTAGTAAGTCTCTTTAACAGTTTTTTTTTCTCTCTTTACGATGACACATCGTAACTTCTTGCATTGCAACGCATATTTTAAAACGATCGTACGATACCTCTGCTGACGATTCACATTTACGACCGAGACCGGCGCAAAATTTCATAAATTCTATCTGGTTTTGCAAACCGAATCGGCCGTACTTCTATTCCTCGCGAACGTTACATCAAAAAAATTGCAGCGACCCACGCGACTACTTGCACTCAAGAATTACATATCGCTGTGCAACGCGGACGACGTTTGTCGACCATTGTTGCAGCTCGTGTTCAGCGACTCGCAGAACGTGTTTACGGTCGCGAGCCCTGAAATTACATCACGTAGCCGACCAAAACCGAGGAAGGGCCGGTGGTCAAGTACAAAGACGGGCGCAGTAAACGTACTTGGAATCGCCACGGGGATGGCAGGACTGTAGAACGGCTGGCCTTGCGTCCTCGTCAAGTGGCAGAATGGTGCGCACGTTGGCCCTCCTCACGGTCACCTCCATGGTCAGGTAGAACAACCGTGGGTCACGGTGTCTCATGCGATATTTGTTCAGGAGATTCTGCACGACCTCGCGACATGTCGTCTCGTAGGTAATACTCAGGGTTTTGTATTCGATGTCTGGTCGCAAGCAGTTGGCGTAAACCTTGATTGTAGTCTGTAACAAAAAACAAATTATACATTTTCTATTTATATTCGAATATTTGCATCATTACAATTGAGATATAAAATGTATTAATCAAAGCAAGTATATAATTTGGATTAAAGAAGACACAGAAAGTGTTTGGAAGTCAAGTTAAATTCAATGACAGGAAGGAAATCCACGTCCTGTTTTTGGCACGGCAAAAAAATCCTAAAACGCACGGACCTTGACAATTAAGTCCATAATTAACTCAGACAGACGTCGCCCACGCGTGCGACATAAAACTCTATCACCCCCTTCAGATATGACTGGTTACGAGGGGATGCGCGCACCGAAAATATACCAGACACCAGATCACCCCGTTCGCAGATGCCACTGCGATCGCACACACGTACTAACGTTCATCATCGCACGCACACGCAGATTTAAAATATAATTTTATAGACAAAGAAGAATTTACCTAAAACAAATAAAAAAAAAACATAGACGTAACGTTAAATTTATCCGAAATAAATTATCTATTGTCGCATTTTGTTGTAGACTTTTGCGTACAAAATAGAATTCTATAATCTCACACATTTCTCATATATTTTCAGTTTTTCAAGACACGTGATTAAAATAAAGTAACGTTACTTTAGTCACGTGATCTTACTTTAGTCACGATTTTAACGTCAAGTTTTTTCGCGTCGGGACGACTTTACGACTCAAGTCGTTTTATTGCTTTGTCGAAAATCCTTCGATTGGAAACGCATCTTGCGAATGTGAGCTCCCAGTGTGCTCGGAAACATTCATCCGAACAAAGCAAAGTAATATTTCACCAAGGCTTGTATAAATTGAAACCGTCGAGAGGAAACCGGAACCTGAACGTTACGAAATCCATTCGAATCTCAGATTCGGCTGAGCCTTTACCGTGTGAAATAAACACACGACAATTGTGGGATTACTTCAACACGCTTATTACGGTGTCAACAATGAAGTTTATTGCGTGTACTGGCCGTTATCGCGTATTAAGTTGAATTTGTTGAGGTTGCTGTTACATTTTGCTTTATTGTGCAACGTTACAATGATTGTTCGAAGAAAGATACCGAGAAACCGATTTATGATTTCAAAATCGGAAGGAAGTGAGATTAATTATATCTAATTAAACTGCATCTCAAAGAAAATTCACTACAATTTTTATTACAAACATATCGGATAAAGTAAAAATAAATATCGTCCGTATATATTTTTGTGTTTAATGACGCGCATTGTAAATTATTATATACACAAATTGGACATTAGAAATTCGGACGAGTTTATACAAATTGGACGCGAAATTCCCGCTGAATGCTTTCACGATGAACAAGAATCGATAGGGAAACATCGAGCTGGTCCTAACAAGCGGCTGGCCCTAACGAACTCGAAGATATACAGCGTTCGCTTAAATATATACAACAGTGAGATCTGGAGATGCAGAAAGATCTCCGTTTCTCCGCGACAAACCACGCGCGATTTCGTAGAAACATCTCCGGTTGGTTTAAGTGATGCAGCGAAATTTCTGATTCAACGGTTGTTGGAATTCCAATAGGCTTACGTTAATGCCATTTACGCAAATTGGACGTGCATACAGTTCTCTCCTCGACCAAACTTCCTTCTTAACTACACCGCAATGGTGACAAGGTGCAAGGATCACTATGAGTCATTTATTCTCGCGCGTCATTGTCAATTATTTTTCCTTCTATGTTATCTACGTAAATAATACGAGATTGCGAAGAAAAGATCAAGGAAAAAATATTTATCAGCATGTATTTGAACGACTAATAAAAAGGAACGTAACGCGACAGCTTACGGACATGATTCGAGTGTCAAAGCAAGGCCTGCGTTTCGTCAGGATGGAAAAGGACGTGCGACACTTCGTAAACTCCAATATCTCGCACCCGGTTATGCAGGACAGACAGAAATATGCTCCGAGATATTTTGGTGTGGTGTTTTTTTAGAGTCGAGAATATTGCTTAGCTGGCGCACGTGCGATCGATACTGCTCCGTCGTAAACATCGCCTTAATAATGTAACGTTTTTTTTTCATTAAAAAAGAAATTAGAAAAATTAACAATTTTTTTTTTAAATCACTGATTTTTTTTATCGCGTCTGAACTTTTTTGCACCGAACTCACTAAGAGCTCTTTGTTCCGCGAAATATATTCATATCTTGAACGCTTATCACCGTTCAACTCACCTTGCATAACGCACAATGATATCATCGTCGCTATTTATAAAAGCACACATGACGCGGGATTTTGATAACGTAGATTGGTTTTCGCGCCCTTGATCTTACGTTACAGCCCGTAACAAGATGCTGCAAGTTCTTTGCCATCAAGACAATAGCTTGGTTGGTAGTATAAATTACAATCATTTATAAGAAACATATCTATATTAAGACACTAGGAAATAGTAATGCAATACAAAATATTTGTACAGCAAGCTACGTCGTTCGTGAAAAATTTCACAAAAAAGTTTTTCTAATTTTTCTCTCTAGTTTAACTCCGTTAAACAAAAACATAATAATTATACATTGGAAATAGTTCGTCGACTTTGACTATTTTTTTTACTCCTTAATTACATGGCACATGGCTGGATGAAAAAAACAGCTGTATTTACACGTTGCTCTAAAAACGCGTCCGGTAAATCGAAGCTCTAATAGGGAAGCCACATTGTGGAATTCGAAGAAGCGTAGGAAGAGCCGAAAAATCTAGCCGCTAATATGCCGTATCGGGGCGCGCGGCGCGACAAAAAATGTAAACGTAGAGTGGAACAGTGGGTGCCATATGTCAGGAGATGCCGTCGTAATGAGGGGGTCCAATTTAGCAAGAATCCATAAAAATCCCTCACTGCGAAGGGAGAGCGCGCAGCAATTTTGATGCTTTTGTGTCGTTCACTGCGCGTTCAAATCAGACACTTCTGGCTTTCTTTGCTTTCGCGTTTATCAATGATCGTCTTGTCCTACTGGTCGTTCATTGGTTATTCTATATATAGTCGTACGTTTATCGCACATTTATCGTTATCAGTGATTCGGTTTCCAGCGCTCGCTGCGTAACGTCACCCGGTATACGCTATTCTCTTTTTGGAGCAAGGTAAGCGACACCTTTCAACGGAAATACTTTAAAACGAGTTCTCCATTTTTTTTAATTAAGAAATAGACATACTTTTATAATGAGTATAATGAGTTTATATGTAAATATATTGTGCCACGTAAGAAGTAAATATATTAAAGTAATATATTTTTAAATTAAATATATTTAACTCACAAAGCAGAATTCGTTAACGCAGTCTTGTTCATAAGCGATCGTGTATTAAATATAACCGAGAGAAACTAATGTCGAAAGAGAATCACTGAGTGTTGTTTAATGTTGATGATACTTATTGCCTCCTGTATGGCGCCGTCTATTTATAATATTTATTCTTCCAGTTGATAAGATGAGCAAAGTCGCGACGCTACGTTCCGGATGAGCGACGATCAACTTAAATAGCAAAAAAATTGTTTGAAGATAAGAGTCCCTCCGGAGTTTTATTTGAAAATTGCAAACTTAATCGACGTATTATATGTGTGCAAGTCGTGGACCGTAAGTCTCTCATTACACATTAGACTTTTAATGATACCGAGCATAATGCGAGGTCACGTTCAATTGCTTGAATCGTTTGATAATGTCGAAAAAAAAGCAACTTATTGTTTGCTTTCGCGTGGAACAATATATGCTACAAGAGTGCGCGTGTCGTCTCTGCAATTTTTTAATTTTAAATTGTAGAGTTTCAGAGCAAAATTGGCATATTATCATTTCCTGCTTCTGTTAGTAGTACTAAGAAAAAATTTTGAATTACAATTGTTTGGTGAAAATTTATTTATACACATGTGCGCGTATGTTTTATATATAAATTAATTTAAACGGTTTTTATTCCTAATGTGTGTTTAATAAATTATTATATTAAACTTTCGAGAAATATAAACTTCAACAAATGTTTGTTAATAACATAATTATAAGCAAATTTGTCTTTTTGGTCATTTTAGGATATTACAAACACCCTGTAGATTTGACGTTCGTTCATTTCCATACAAATTCACAAAAACCATCACCGATTTCAATGACCATCAGAGAGTGAGAGAGAAAAAGAGAAAGAAAGGGAGAGAAGGGCGTGTTCGTATGTATGTGTGTGTCCTCAGGTAAAAGTTCTTGCATAAAATTTCTTATCCCGGCGCCCCATTGAATCCTGTGTCTCCTTTCTTATGCGCGGCACGTGCTTTTCGGTCCTCAGCTGCTATTTTTCTTCACGGAGTCTTCAGGTACCCGTCGTTACTCGAGCACGTGTCTCGTTTCGCTCATTCTCCACCCGGTTTCCGGCCGAAGATGGATCTCGCGCGAGAAGGACGGGATAAAACAAAACCTCACTTCTAAGTGGAGAGAGAAACGCTTGCGATGTGTGACTCGCTTTAGGGGATCTTGCGGATTGCGGGAATAATTAATAAGAGATAGTCTAGTGAGCACCGCTGCAGTTTACAAATCTGCAAAACGTTTCAATCTGCGAGAGATATTTAATTACTTCTTCTACGTTTTATCGCTTGAACTTCAAATCTCGAATCGTCATACACACAGAGAGATATGAAGAGTTTGATATATTCTAAGCAAGAAATCTCACAGACTAAACATGATAACGTGTATCTGCATATAATTAAAATATTCACTTTTGCTTATCTCCGCGGCCGCAGTTGCGAAAACGATACCTGATGACACCTGCGACACTTGGCGACACAAAGGCTTTGCCTAATCGCACGTAATTCGATCGGCATTCCAAGCGGAATTATTAACTACCTTGAAACATCGTCAGCAGATAATATTCGTTTTCAAGTGTCACAGGCCTTAAGTAATTAGCCAGTCATACGACACTTCATCGTCGCGATAATAGCTGACCTTTCGCACTGCTGGTAGCACGCAAAGTATAGTATAGATACAACATGCTGTTTTCTCCGATGAGAGTCGATGACTGT